ATACACAGTTTCAAGTGTAGATATGATAGAGCCCAGTAGGCTCGGGAACCTGTACACCAGTTGATTAACAGTTGAGAGGCGGGACCAAAGAGACAAAGCTTAACCCCCTCCAGCACAAATAGTTGACTACACACACGTCATCAACTTCGACATTGGCTGTGCTACAGTAAATAATATAAAATTATATAAATGACCGTAAGAACGGCTATTAGGGTTCAAATGTACTTTGTTTCGACCTTAACACCAGTTTTATTCGACTCGCTGATTATAACAAACTCGTAATATTTACGACTACAGAGGTTGACGTAAAAACCAGATTAGTGTGCCTAGGAGGATAACCAATTATTTTCTTTTTTATTTTCGAGTCTGGTGCGCCACATTAGATAAGGTTGGTATAGGTCAGGAAAAGTTAAACTACGTTAGTTTATTTGGAGTAAATTAGGTTAGGTTTGGATAGGATAGGTTAAGGGGGATAAGTTAGGGTAAAATAGGGTAGATTAGGACAGGTTAGGATTGATTTAGTTTTGTTAGATTAGTCAGATTATAAATGATAGAGGTTAGGTTTAGATAGCTGGGAGGTGTTAGGTTTCTGAGATTAGGCTAAAGTACGTTAGGATTTTAGATTAGGGTTAGGATTGATTTGTATAGAACAGTATAGCCTAGGATAAGCTGTGTTCCTCATATTATGTTTATTAATGTAATTAACGGCATTTTGACAATCATTATAAGTAATTCTGATCTTTAGTAACCTATTGTCACGGAGTTATATTTATGTGTGAAGGTATCCATACAAAGGATACCATCCCTGCCCATCTCGAATGCTAAACCCTATGGACTTTGTGATGCACATTTCATATCTACCTACTTCGACGAGGGGAGGGGGAATAATGAGCCCCAACCCTCCTTCATAGGATGCATGGGTACAGGCAACATGATGGAGTTTCTCACAGTAAGATTGGTAAGGAGTCACCTTTATGGATGATCAACTGTTGTGTTATGTTAGCAATTAAGGCATAAGGACTGTCCCTTGCCTGGATTAATTAAGGCCGCACTCTGCCTTACTTATAAACTTCAAATATACTCAACTTAACAAAGATCGGGGACGAAGCTTTGAGTGATACTCAAAGACATACCCCTCTGTTTACACCTGGCTTCACAGTATCCCTCAGAGTATACACCTGACTTCACAGGAATCCCTCAGAGTATACACCTGACTTTGCAGGTGTACGTGATTATTCGTTAAAATGGAAAAATGTGAATAAAATCAGTATGCAGTGTCATTTAAATAACACACACACATATGTGATTGTTGTGCATAATAATGGAACATTTCCAGACAATTGCAATCTCAATATAAAGAGATGAGGGCGAGTTGTAGTATTGTTGTAACCATTATTACGATTGCTGCTATAATTGTATTATTAGCAACACTAGCCTATGCTCCAACTGTTGTTGTTGTTGCTACAACTACAACTACAGGTAGTAGTATGACTTACAAGCGAATCGTCTTCACGCCTGAAGGACTGACCCAGCCATGACCGGCCGACACCCACAAGAGATGGTCTCTCACGCCCAGTTGACCTGTGACCTTTTGACCTCGAAAGTAATATGTGAATTAAGTATATTCTGAGTTGAATTTCAGGGAAATATTTCCGAGTGATTTTCTGTTTAATGTGCAGCGAGCGAGGCTCTGCTTTGTGTTGGAATTTTTTTGGATAATTTTATATTTTTCCGTGCAGATACAGAGTACTTTTCTAGTTTGTTTAAAGGAAAATGAAACAGTATAGTGTAATTTGCATGAGAATAGTTTATTATGACAACACGGGCACAGCGAGTGGAGGCGGTGTTAGTCTCATTGGCTTCAAAATTACTCGCCAGTTGACCGTCCATGAGGTCAACTTGTCAGTTGACCGTCTATTAGGTCAACTTGTCAGTTGACCGTCTATTAGGTCAACTTGTCAGTTGACCGTCTATTAGGTCAACTCGACTGAGATCAGCCAGGGAGCCTCTACTGCGCCGCCATCCTCATGTTTTCTTTGGTCAAGTTGAGGATTTGTCGAGTAATTAGAGGTTGGTATCCTAGCCTCCTGACTGCGTGGGGATTTTCCTTGGTTAAGATTTACATTTGTAATATTTTTTCCACCCCTGTCGAATCTCTCTCTTACAGTGCTGAGAAAATGTATTAATGAAACTTGTAGCGTTTTTGGGATCAACTTTCACATTCTCTTTAGGTTTCTTCGCGGCGTTCTGAAGTTGCTGCCTTCACCCTGGCCGGTTACTTGTCCCCACCCACTTCCACCCCTCCCACCCGGCCGGTTACCTGTCCCCACCCACTTCCACCCCTCCCACCCGGCCGGTTACCTGTCTCCACCCACTTCCACCCCTCCCGTCCGGCCGGTTACCTGTCCCCACCCACTTCCACCCCTCCCGCCCGGCCGGTTACCTGTCTCCACCCACTTCCACCCCTCCCGCCCGGCCGGTTACCTGTCCCCACCCACTTCCACCCCTCCCGCCCGGCCGGTTACCTGTCCCCACCCACTTCCACCCCTCCCGCCCGGCCGGTTACCTGTCCCCACCCACTTCCACCCCTCCCGCCCGGCCGGTTACCTGTCCCCACCCACTTCCACCCCTCCCACCCGGCCGGTTACCTGTCTCCACCCACTTCCACCCCTCCCGCCCGGCCGGTTACCTGTCCCCACCCACTTCCACCCCTCCCGCCCGGCCGGTTACCTGTCTCCACCCACTTCCACCCCTCCCGCCCGGCCGGTTACCTGTCCCCACCCACTTCCACCCCTCCCACCCGGCCGGTTACCTGTCCCCACCCACTTCCACCCCTCCCGCCCGGCCGGTTACCTGTCTCCACCCACTTCCACCCCTCCCGCCCGGCCGGTTACCTGTCCCCACCCACTTCCACCCCTCCCACCCGGCCGGTTACTTGTCCCCACCCACTTCCACCCCTCCCGCCCGGCCGGTTACCTGTCCCCACCCACTTCCACCCCTCCCGCCCGGCCGGTTACCTGTCCCCACCCACTTCCACCCCTCCCACCCGGCCGGTTACTTGTCCCCACCCACTTCCACCCCTCCCGCCCGGCCGGTTACCTGGGGTTATTGCACGTGTGGGTTGGGAGATATTGCACGTTTGGGTTGGGAGTTATTGCACGTGTGGGTTGGGGTTATTGCACGTGTGGGTTGGGGTTATTGCACGTGTGGGTTGGGGTTATTGCACGTGTGGGTTGGGGTTATTGCACGTGTGGGTTGGGGTTATTGCACGTGTGGGTTGGGGCTATTGCACGTGTGGGTTGGCGTTATTTTCCAGCCATGTTATTGTGATGTGTTCTCTGGCGCGCGCTCCTGCGGTTCCTTCATTTGGAATTCTGGATTTGCGTCTCAAGAAAAACCCAAAAGGAGAAAAACCCTGCAGAGCAAAATAACGAGACTTATCAATGACCTGCCCTCAATGACAACCACCCCCCCCCCAATCAACTTACAACACGGTAACAAAATCACTAACATATTCAAAGTAGTTAAGCCACTACTCACCCTATTCTTACCAAATCATTTGCTAATAAAAATCGAAAATCGAGTAGAGCGCGCGTGGCGTGGTGAGGAACTCCTGAGTAAGCTTCGAGAATATGGACGCTGTCAGCGGCGGGCGAGGTGAAGGGCTTTGCTCTCTGCATTTTTTAAACAGTGGAGATCAAATTTTGGTCGTAGGAAGCACGCCAAGTGGACCGTTGTCTGATATGACAAGTAAAGACTGAAATCAGTTGAGCTGGAGAGTGGCATGTACTGGTGTCAACATCTTCTTTCAGACAGTAGGAAGAGTTTCCACGAAGTAATCTTTATCAGCGCCAGTCAAACCGAAAAGGACACCAGAGACGACTCTCCATGTGTTGAGCGTTTAGTCTAGGAGAGTGGGATTAAGTGTTGTTAGGGTGAGTTACCGTCAGCTGAGTCCTGGAACAAGAAGCAAGGAAACAATTCAGTGTATAAATTGACAGGCGTGTAGTAGACTGGAGGACGGTCGTCAACTTCTTGGAATTATCCTGTAATGGATAATAGACCAACTTGGTAATGGACAACTTGGTAATGATCCAACTTGGTAATGAACCAACTTGGTAATGAACCAACTTGGTAATGAACCAACTTGGTAATGGACCAACTTGGTAATGAACAACTTGGTAATGAACCAACTGGTAATGGACCAACTTGGTAATGAACCAACTGGTAATGGACCAACTTGGTAATGGACCTCTATGGCTTGTGTGTTCCTGCAGCTTTCTTATAAATGAAGGGAAATATAATATGAGGAGGAAGTATCAGGAGAAAGCGCCAAGTTATTACGGCTATATAGCACTGGAAAGAGATCAGGATAAGGATTTGGGATGGAACGGGGGGGGGGGGGGAAGGAATGGTGCCCAGTACTTGGATGGTCAGGGATTGAATGCCGCCCTGCATGACGCAAGACCGTCTCTCTACCGTTCAACCCAAGTGATTAGACTGCGATGTAAGTATATATACACCTAATTATTATTTGTTAGCCTATACTCAGGGTGTAATTAAACTTGGGACGTGTTCCTCGGCTTGCTCGCTAATCAAGGAACGCACAGAATGGGTGCTCTTCGTCCTCTACAACCATGCACCGGCCAGTTTAAACTGCAACCCCAGTGTCAGCACCTATGGCATATCTGGCCGAACACAGCACCACCGTCGGTCGGCTTTCATCTGCAGAGTTGCCCACAGTCAAGGCCAATCTGCCCCCCGACACACTAGGTCAAAGCTGTGACTCTACCCTGAGAAAACTGTCCTTATTCTACCCCAAACCTGGACCAGCTGGAGGAAGTTGACACCTGAAGTGTTAAACCATCGCCCTGGCGCATCTTCCCTGTGTAGACGTGAAGGCCTGAGGTGGTGTTAGGGAATGTAAATAAGTGTTGAAGAGTAGAGGAGTGAGTGAGCGAGCGAGAGGGAGGGAGGGAGGGAGGGTGTCAGTGTGTTGGTGGAGGTGGGCGATGAACGACCTGTGCTTGGCTCCGCTCCTCGCTACCACATAGGTGAGAATGTACACCTCGCAAATGGAAAATACGGACACGACTCTGTCACACAGCAGTACAGTGTCTGGATTCGGTTTCGTCGATGTGAATAAGTGATATCAAAGTTCCAAGTGAAATGTGGGCTTTGCATAAAAAAATGTCTGCGTGAGAGACGGTAAAGGAGTATTTATTTATTTTTCATTACATTCCAGATGTCAAGGAGAAAGGGGGTGTTAAGAGAGTGAAACCCTATAAACAGTTATTTAGTAGTGTGGTGTGTAGAGACTATAAAACAGTGTACAGCAGTGCATCAGATGATATTAACAATGTTGCCGGATATCCCCACCAGCACGTTGGAGAGCGCCCTGAGTGCCCACGCCGGACGCCACGACCAGGAAGAACTGGTCGACACTAATAATAACGACCAGGAACATTGCTGCCACGATAACGACGACGGTAACTGCAAAAATGAAGGTGACGATAAGAGTGCTGATAGTCGCATCTGTCAGACATCTGCAGGTGCCGGCGTTAAATACCAGCTGCGACCTCGGTCAGGGCAGGGTCAGCGGCGCTACGATAGTGACTGGAACCTCCACGACACCCTGATACACAAGCCGCGCCCCCCACCTCTGTCCAGGTACCGCCGGAAGACGGCAAACGCCCGTGAGAGGTACCGCATGCGGCAAATCAACTCTGCTTTTGAGAGTCTGCGCGGTGTTTTGCCTTCGTGGGTGTGTCGCCGACGTGCCGCAGCTGACCTAACTAAGATAACTACTCTGAAACTTGCCTCGGCCTACATCAGGTCGCTGCAGGACATCCTGGACGGTAACGCCCATCAGGACATTTGCTCCTGGGTCCTCTCAAGCCTCCTTCAGGACGATCCAACCTCCAAGAAGCCCCGGCTACAACTTGGCCTCAGTTGCCCCAGTGAGACCCAGCTCACTGAGCTTTCCAATACTCCTACGGAGTCCCAACTGGTCTCTCTCCTGTATGGAGCTTCAGCTACTGGAATCCTTGAAGATGACCTCGGGTCATTCTCATACTCCTCGTCGGTGTCTGAGACTGAGGGCGTTAGCCTCCTGCTGGGGTGTGACCCGGCTCCCGCCTGGACACCCCAGTACCCTCATGTCGTCACCTGACACCTTGACATCTCCCAGGCTAAGCAAGATTTGCTCCATATTTCTTTATTAATATGATTTATTTAACTAGATAAACACCATGTATTAATCTGTATCTTCTTGTTACGTACTCTGGAACGTTCGTGTAGATCTGTGATTCTAGAGAATATTTAGTTTAGTCTGTCATAATAGCGGTGAATATTTTAATTTATTGCATATATAGTAATGAGTATAATATAATTAGACACAAGTGTTTCACTCTAGAGTGCTACACCCCCGTGCTGTCAAGTTACGCCATGTTATATATAGTGTATATATACGAAACTTTGACAGCTTAACTTGCCTGTGACATCACGTTATATAGTGATGATAAGGATCCAGTAGGATCCATGTCCAGTATTTATCGTTATATAGACGATAACGTAAGTCAAACGTTATCAACATGTAAATTTTTAGTGTATTGCTGCCACCTACTGAGAAGCTCTGCAAGTTGTCCCAGACCTTCTTGGATCATCATCCACACACTTGCATGTTACTGTAATGGAAAGGATGTACTTGAACATTTATACCTATGACATTCCATCAGATCCTGATCTATGAAACATACTAATCTCTCATATATATATATTCACATCTTGACTGATGATTGTAGTATTTGTGTTCTATGAGACTGCATCTCAAATTTCTGGATCAGAAAAAACTAGGTAATATAAAATTTGTAACTGAAATGTTCAATTTCGACATTATTTCATGAAATAGAAATTGTGTAGATATATCTTTGCTTTTTTTTGTTTTCCTTATCCCGATAACAAAGTCTAATTGGGCTATATATTATAAGTAAACCCCCTGTAGTATTTTCTATATATGTAACATGAAAGAATAATGCAAAGTTTATTTGAAGGTGTCCATAAATACTTGTAGCCTATTGTATGCATAAACCCAGAATACCGAGACGGCCTAAAGAATCTTATAAGCCTTAAATATATATATATATATATATATATATATATATATATATATATATATATATATATATATATATATATATATATATATATATATATATATATATATATATATATATATATACAGTATAATATACCCTGTGTGAGTTATCTCATGGCTGGACTGTTAAAGAGTCCTCAGGAGATCGCTTAGACCTGATCAGTCACCACTAAGTAGGGATGCAGGTGTGGTTGATGGACAGGCGACTGATAAACTTTCTTCATCAGTGGATTTTTTTAATGATAACGTTCCACTGTTTATTGATTTATTTTTTTCGAAAGGTAGGGGTGGGGGATATTGGCTCTTTATATTGCTATTGCTATTATAATTGTTAAAGTGTTATTACTTAAGCACAATTACTACTGCTGCTGCTGCTGCTGCTCCTCCTGCTGGATGTTGGCTGTTGTTAACTGCTGTTGGTTTTGTCTTATGCTGGCTGAGCTATGTTGTTTCTACTACCTTTACTTTTACTTTGACGAATATTATTATTTTTTATTATTATTGGATTTAATTATTATTTTGAATTACTTTATTGCATTATTTTTATTGTTTTATTATCATTATTATTTTTATTATTTTATTATGTACTATATTATTTTTATGTTAAATATTTTTTATCATCACCACGAGTAGTGGTAGCAAAAGACGTAAAGGCACTACAGTAGCAGTATTTATAGCAACAGTTGTATTAATACATGGCTGTAGCTAGTAATAATACAGGGGTGTAGTCGGGCTCCGATAGTTCTAGATAGGGGGATATAGTGCTATTCTCGAATGATTCATTTCTACCAATATTCGCCCCGTTGGGGGGAGGTCCTCCAGTTTAGGTTACACTCATGGAAACACTATTGAGGTAGTACCTACGGGCTCACCATAGCCCGTGCTACTTGGAACTGTTTGTTACAAGTAGCGAATCTTGAACAACAACAAACTATTGAGGTTATATCTGTTCCTACTGGATCCTTGTCGACATCATCACTTGTTTTTTTAACTATTTCCATAAATACCGTTAAAAAATGATGTTTACTGCAGTAGAGCACAGCTTGGTATCTGTGTGTGGAATAAGAGCCCGACTCTCGTAGAAAACATCAGCAACAAGGGTGAGAGCTGAAGCAGAGGTCATTTTTGGTAGTGGTAATAGTAGTAGTAGTAGTAGTAGTTGCAGCAATTGCAGAATTAATAACTACAGTTCTTTTTGTGGTTATACAAAAGAACTACGAAAGCTGCATAAGGCCTCTTGGCCCATACGAGGCTGCTCTTACCCAGTGGGTACATGTTGGGCACACGACGTTGATTCAACGTTCAGTCAATAACGTTGAATCAACGTTACTCGTGCATGTTTTGCCCGCTGGGTGTTTACATCCACCCAAACCCATTCATATATATGTTTATTATGTTACCCGGTGATCTGTTCCATTAAGCGACAACCCTTTTTAAAACCAGTATTGACGCAGATCTTTTCTGAAGAGTAACTTTAGATGAATTATCGCTAACTCTTCCTGATATGAATCATATCATTCTATTCGCCATATCTTGAACATTTATACATTAATTTTTAACTTACGATCCTACCATAATAATTTGTAGCTTTCAGATTTGGCAATTTCAGCATTATCCAGCTGGTAACTTATCATTACCTAGGCTCAGAACCCTTCGTTTGTCAATATTAAATTGCATTGATCAGGCTTTTGTCCATTTTATAAGTACAGTATCTAAATCGCCTTATATCGATTTTGAGTCTTCTGAATTTATCGCATTATTTTTTTAATAATGTATTTTGCAAATTTCAAAATATTGATGTTCGATCATGTCTTAATCGTTCACACACACACACACACACACACACACACATATATATATATATATATATATATATATATATATATATATATATATATATATATATATAAAAACAACAGAGTCCTGGAGTATTTCACATGCAATGGTTTGCACTCGGGCTTAAACTGAATGTATTCTAACATAATCCTTTCCATTATCAACTGTTTGAAAAATGCATGAACAGAGCGAGAGTAATTAAAAAACAAACGCGTGACCTGTAGTAAAACCATGTTGTGGACCACTTATTAATCTGTTTTCAATATGTAAGCTAATGGCATTTGCTTCATCGATTCGAGCAATTGGCCAATGGTTCGATGAGTGATTTATTCCACTTAAAATCTGCTCCACATAAGCAACTCTCCACGACTCCGGTACTCTGCTCAACTCAAATGATTTATTAAAAATGCAAGACAAGGTCTCTCACTAAGTTCATCTTAACATTTGTTAAGAACACTTGGAAATGCTTTCTCTCGTCCTGGGAACTTCTTAGGCTTTAGTTTTTCTGTTCGTTTAATAACTTCCTCCTTGGTATAATGTAAACTAGTCACCGTTTTCTTTTCACCACCTTCATAGATTGCAGGTAAAATATATATAAAGTTCTTCTCTAGTATATATAGACAAGAGTACTGATTTACAATATCAATTAGTTCATTTTTCAGTTACCTGAACTGTCTCATTCTTCAACTCGGTCTTCTCCCTAATCTTTGAGATTATATATATATATATATATATATATATATATATATATATATATATATATATATATATATATATGTCGTATAATAGCCAGAACGCACTTCTCAGCCTACTATTCCCCAATTTGCCTAATAAGCCAGCAGGTTTTTTCATTTATACATGTTTGCATTGAATATGATTGCATATTCTGTATTGATTATTTTCTTGTTTAGGGCTTCTATCCCTCTGATTAGTGTTCTAGCATCTTGGTTTAATTGAATTAGCATGACCTACATCTTCATTAGGATGAAGATGCCAACATAAAAGACACTGCTCAACATACTAGGTCTACTACACCTCATTAATCTTTATGTGCTTCGTCCCCTATTTTCTTTTATGCCTTACCTTTTCCTTTATTCTTGTCCCATTTGTATAGATCTACTTGTCTTCACCTGACCCCTTACTAGTATAAATCTAATACACCTTGTATTTTCTTATCACTTAAGAATGAACCATGTAGGTTCGAAACGTTGTGTAAATTTTATAATAAGTGTAATACAATCTACAGTTATTTATTTTTTTTCTTCACCTGAAACGAAGATGACCTTTGGAGAACTCTTCAAATTATACCAAGATGCTAGAACACTAGTCAGAGAGATAGAAGCCCTAAACAAGAAAATAAATCAATACAGACTATGCAGTCATATATAAGAGAGAGAGAATGGTCCTTCTTTTGCATTAGCTAAGGCTAAGTAGAGGAGCCATTAGATAAACGCACCCCATTCTGTGCATGTCATATCTGCTGTAGAATTTATCCTATCAATAGCAGCGACAGTAATAATAATTGTAATAGCATTTTTTTTAATAATATCAGTAGTAGTATTAGACATGTAAGTCGAATAATTATTCAAATACGCTAATATGGTAGTAGTAGTAATAATAATAATAATTAAGAAGCCTAACTTATGGAAAATCAAAAATAGAATTTCAGTTGGAAATATAAATACTGTACTGTTTGCGTTCCTTTCTTTAATTTTCTGCGAATGTTTTCCTGGTTGATTTGTTGCACGAAATAGCCATGAATCTTGTTTTCATTACAGACAAAATTTATTATTGCACAAACTACCATGGTCTTCCGAATTTGGCAAAACTTTTTAGGCCACTGAAAACTATTGGATGCTTTGAAGGTTTAAAAATTTGCATCTGTGTGGGAATAATTTGCAAATTTAGCATGGGTGTGTGGTAGTCTTTTTCTTGTTCTCATTGTATATTATTTGTATTGTATTTTATTTACGATGTTATATATCGGTGATGCGTGATGTGTGATGGTGTATGTGGTGGTAGGCTGATGTGGTGATATAATGTGTGGCAATGAACAAGTATAGTGAGGTGCTGGTGAAGTAATGGGAAGGTGTAGTATGTGTTAGTGTGGTAGTGAGCAAATATGGTGTTTTGGTAGTAGGCCGGTGAAGTGTTTAGAAGTGGACAAGTATGGTGGCCTTTCACTGCAGATGGTGTTTATTACCCCATCCGTTTGGTCACCCTCCAAGTGCTATGCCAGTGATGGTGAACAATAAAAATTAAAGTTGTTTGTTGACCTTTTGCTGTTTGACTTAGCCGACGAAAGAATACATGGGGACAGCATCTGTATGATAATTCCAAGCTTACGCATTCAGTTGACTCGTTTCTGCGTTGTAGAAAAAATCCGTAAATGGCTAGAGTAAGAGACCAAGAAGAAGAGTTCTAAAAGAGAAAGTGCTGACTAGAGGGCTCTGTGACCTGCCGACGACCTTACCTTAATCCATGACCCGCAAGGTGACTCCAGGGCGTGACCCCCTCTCTTCTCCTTCACTTGGGAGAAATTTTACTACATTAATCTTCATCGCACAGTACAAAACAGCGTACATCCTTGCTTCAAATTCTCTCTCTCTCTCTTGCTTCACGACCCTTGGTCATGTCTCACGAAAGAGGAACTCAGATTGGTGAATGCCCACTTCAAATGATACCGATAAAACCCTCAATGGTTAGTATGGCACGCTAGAGGCCCTATATGAAGACTCGCGTTTATTTGTAACGGTCAAAGTCATCCTGGTTCATACGTGACCCGCTTCGTTTGCCTTACTAGGGAGAAAGGCACCGGTCATCCGTGCCACCATCTTCCTTTGTGGTGTTCCCGTTACTACACACACACAAACACTGCATCAGAAAACCTACAACTCCAAAAATGAGGTCAGAAGCAGCCGCTC